AGCGTTACGCATGGGGATTAAATGAACTGAAACCCATATCTAAGCAAGGACATTCAAGCAATTTATTTGGTGAGTAGAGTGTATTTTTGAGCTTAGTGACGATAGCATGAAACAGTAAATCAGCTGAAAAGCTTATAGGTGATAAACATGTGTTCTTTCTACCCTCTGTCATGCAGTGTGGTGTTTCTTGCTTGTGTATAAAAAGTAACAGTAAATGAAGGTGATGCTGTCTATGACTTTTATAGATTCCCTTCTGAATGAGAATAGATGAAGCGTGTCATTGCTGCATGACAAAGATGTAGTTTTGTTGCATTAAATACTGCCCTGCCTTAAACTTTTCCTATGAAGTGGACTCATTGACACCACATTCAATAAGCAGGAAACAAAAGCTCTAAGACAGAAAAAAAAAATCCAGTACAAGGAACAAAACATACTCTCTACAGTCAGGAAGGTAGCTGCAGCTGTCTACAGTTGTCAGGAATTTATTTCCATTCCTTAAAAAAACTTGTTAACGTGTATCAGCCAGGCTCCCTTATCAGGCTTTCTTTTTCATTGATATAACCATTATTTGCACCTCTAAATGTTACACAGGAGATGCTTAAGTAACGCCCAAGTGGCTATCAGTGTAGAACAAATACAGGGTTGAAAAGTTCTAGTAGGAGAGGCACACTGCAGAAATCCACTGTAATGAGGCAAGAATTTTTTTCAATGTCCAAGTGGGACATAGGGCTGGATAAATAGCAGCTGAAGAGCAACAGCGTTCTGAGGAAGCATGAGAAAGCAGGCCTATGAACTGTCATCGTCTTCAGTTTTGCAGAAAAATGAAGAATTAAACTGTTTGACAGCAATCTTAGTTAATTTTTCAGCTTTCTGTTTGACTACAAATTTCTGTAGCTGAGACAACATAAAAACATTACTTTGATTTTAACAGGAACTTATTTTATTGAATGTTTTGAAAAGATAGTTTGAAGTGGAAACATTTCCTAAAACTGCCTAAATAGAGCACTTATCAAATCCTCAACTATATTTGGAAGTTGCTAAGAGACAGTAGTTGTGATTACAAAAATAATTTTGAAAATACATTGATCTTGCTGCACTGCATGTCTACCCAAGGCAACATCAAAAATGTTACTAGGTAATTATTATACAGTTAGCTATCGGACTTTAAACATGAATTGGGTGCTTGAAAGCAGAGTTGTTTGGGTGAACTTCAGTGTTAAGTCAGGCTTCTGTTTTATTCTGTTTTCTTGAAAACTAAATTTTTTTTATTATCCTCATTCAGATGACTGATAGTTGTGAAATTTAATATCATATTTGACAAACTAATGCAATCGTGTTTTCTTGGAGGACAACAAAATGGCATATGATGTCTTGAAAATTGAAATGCTTAATGTAGTTTTATTTGGAATCAGAAGTGATATAAAAATTTATGAGGTTACAGTTCTTAATAATATTGCATGGATTCACAGAAAAAGCTATAGATGTATTGACTTGTGAAATTCTTAAGCCGGAGTTCTGTGGATGTTGCATAAGAATAAGTCACTGCAGGCACTATTCAGTGTGAAACAAGACAAGTGTTGAATTTGAAAATAAAATTGCATTTAAAGGAGTAAGAGCCAGAGTCAGTCTAAATGCAGATCACTTTCTCATCATGATCATCTAGTATAAGATCTTATCACTGAGGAGATTTCCTTAGAAACATCTTCTCTCTTATTGATCTTGGTGGCAAATCAAAATGAGCATTAGGTCTCTTTCTGCTGAATTGCTTTACAGAATACTAAAGAGCAGCATATCCGCAAGCAGTTCTGTCTCATAAGCTACCCATTCCTGAATCCATAATCTCCTTTTGGTTTTTTTAGAAACAAATCCTTGTTTCTGTAATAGTGTTCTCAGATCATTAGATGTGTTCTGTACCTTCATGTTTGAATTCAACATGTGTCGTCTTTTTCATAAAGCAATGAAAGGATGGTCTGGGTTTGTTTTTTACTTTTTTTATTTTGTCAAATAGTTGAGCCTCTCTTTCCTCATGAAAGGACAAACAAGTTTCCTTATTGTCTTTGCTTCTGGTTCTTATTTTTTAAAAAAAAAAAAAGAAAATGGATTGCAAATGGTTGACTACTTTTAAGGTAATTCTGAATTGAACTAGTTGAGAAAGGGTTACATCCAGCTCTGTGTCCCACGAATTTCCTTGCAACCTTCAGAAATAAAGTTAGACGTTTGGTTCACTGTCATTAATCATAACTATCTCCAATTTGCCATGATCATCTTTGCTTCTTACTTCCAGGTCTCAATTTTTTAAAGATATGAGATTGTCTTATAGCATGTTTCGTTAGCTAGCTGCTTAATTTTGAACACTTAACTGCCTATGAATTAATTGGTGCAATTATGGTACTTTGCATATATTGGGAGTGTCTGTTGTGGGATAGAGACTTTAAGAACCTCACTGTGGTGAACAGCAGGTTCCAATGCTGTAGATCACTGGTGCTTAATGTTATATAGGTTACAGACTATATAGCTCTCCTGACACGGAAGGGGAGTGTTGTTTTCAGATTATGTTGCTTCTAAGCTTAATTTGAAAGTATAAATGCTTCAGTCCTTGCTAGCAGTCCTTGCCTTCAAGGTAAAACACAACCATCATGATGTGTTTGTCTGAAATACAAAAATAAGGTGGGCTTTTAACAAGTGTAATTACACATAGATGTGACTGTTAGGCAATACCATCATGAATTTGGCAACTATACTGACACTATTGTTAGGGTAGGTGAAGAGGAATATGGCCGGTGGGATGACAATGGGAGAGAGGTTGATGACAATGGGAGAAAGGACAGTGACGACTGGTGGTTCTGACATTGGATGAAGGAAAAGCATCCTGTTTTATGACCTCATACAAATTAAGAGTAGTAGAGCTCCTTTACAGCTGAGAACTTCTTGCCGAATTTTGAAATGACATTTTATTTTTCCTAAATCCAGGCCATGAAACCAACTTTTGAAGACAAGGACTTGCCTTGATCTTGCTGGTATTCTAGCCACGTGTGTATAGAGAGTGTGTTTGATAAGTTGAGGGAGTCTTTAGACTGGTAGACTGTAGACATATTCACGTTATGGGCAGAAGTTGCTTGGTCTCACATGTGCACACTAAAAATAATAAACTTTTAGAGAAAGGCTGCAACATATGTACGGGAGACTTCTGTTTCAAGCCGAAACCACATACTTGCCTCTGACCATTGCAAAGTCTTTTCAGCACACGCATATAATGTTTTGGTTTGCTTTTTATTTGCCACTTTAGCTTTTACCATGTTGTCTTGTCAAGTAACTAGCATTATTGTGGGTTTCTTATAGTGTACTCCAACTACAAAGAATTCGGTTACAATAGCAACTATTTGGGAAGGCAGAAGTAAAAAGTAATCAGTTGTTGTCTCTGTAGCATTCTTGCTAGTTTAATTCCCTGAAGCATACAACTCTTTCTAGACTAATCAAGTAAATTGGAGTAGCTGAACATCTCTTTGCACCATACTTGTGCATCAGCAAAACAAGGCATGTCTCCCATGCTGGTGTGACCTCTGCTGTGACTCCTAATCGTTCTTTGTCCATACCTGGTAGAAAGTAGACCTTGAGTAAGTCCTGGTAATTTTTAATACTCTAACCTTTAAAGTTTCAGATTACTGTTAACAGTGTTTGCTAAAATAGAGCTTTATCCATGGTACCTTCCTAGTGTGGAAGTGGCAAAATCACAATTTTGCCAATTATTTTCACAGTGCCCTACCACCAGCCCCCCAGCCCAGAAGCTATTCCTCTTCAAGCCTTCTGTACTAATTTTAAATCTAATGAGCATTGCTGCAGCAGTGGAGAGCTCTTTCTAGAAGTGTTTTCTGCACTTAAGCGAGCGTTACTAAAGGGCTTTTTTAATTATCTGTAACTGTATTTCTTGTGCAGTGTTGCCAGTTTAATAACATTGTAACTTGTAGGCATATCATAATTAGTCTCTGCAAGTGAAAAAGGACCTTTTCTGGGGGGAAAGAGGGAGGTATTCAATAAATACTCACAATCTGCAAAGCCGAAGTGCTATAAATTAGCAAGATCCCGTTCTTCCCACTTTGAACGGATTTTTGTAGTTTCTTGTACGAAGTACTGAGGTGTATGAAGATTTTTAAAAGCCTGCCAAAATTTGTATTCAAAACTGTCTTGCAGTGTGCAACAATGTGTATTTTTTAAACTGTAAGTTTATTAATATATCTCTGGAAAAGTAATTGTACATGTATTTAAACAGTATGTTAATTTAAATTGAAAAGCTTCGACATCTTGCCCCCATCTTGTTTCTCTTCATTGTGGCTGCTGGATTCCTTGGAATTTTGGATTTCAGTATGTGATCTTAATTTTGGAAGTAAGCCTGACATCTTTTGCAACGAAGTTAATAGAAAGTTGTCTAAAGAATGACGTCAGCAGATATGTGGATGAATGACTCAATACAGCATTTGAGAGAGCAGTCGTGCTGCACGACTGCTTTTTTTATTTTTTTCCCAAAGAAGTTAGTCGGTATGAAGATAAGTTTATTGTCTTTTTATATTTCCAAAAAGTATTTTTGGGGGTTATTACTGGCTTCTCACAGGGATCCATTGCTGTTGAGAACATGCTCTCAAATTACTCTACCACAATGCTGGAAAATCGAGTGCCCAGAGTGACAGCTTGGCAGTGCTAGCCAGTTACTTGAGGTAGCTATGGCAAAGGCATACTGCAAGCAGTTCCATGAACCCAGAAGGATTCTCTGACAGATGATAATTGTACTTTGAAATAGCAAATAAAGTCTAACATACCTAAATTTAAACTGGCACGTAGTGGCATGGGAGATACGATTCTAAGTTAATACAGAGAACAGATGGACTTGAACTCAAGATGAAGTAGTAAAGGTTGAAAACTTTTCAATACAATGTATGGAGGCCCATAAAAAGTGGCATAGATGGGATGAACAAGGATTTATTGTTCCTGGTGGCGAACAATACCCTTTGTAAGGGGTGGAAATGTCCCATCAGACAGCATCTTCAAACAAACAAAAGAAGGTGATTCATAACGAA